CTCTTTCTGAACCTTTTTAAGTTCAGCAGATTTTACAGGGTTCGGCCATTTTGCGACGGAACGTTTTGTAAGTTCCGTGAAGTGCTTTGTGGTTTCGTACATTATGTACCGAACCTTTCAGAGTTTCTTAAAATAACTTAAGGTTTCGTAGATCATGTACGGAACCTCTCCGAGTTTCGTAAAATGAACTAAAGTTTTGTAGATCATGTACCGAACCTAGCATAGTCTCCTAAAATGAGCTAAGGTTTCGTAGGTCATGTACTGAACCTCTCAGAGTTTCGTAAAATGACCTAAGGTTTCGTAGGTCATGTACGGAACCTCTCCGAGTTTCGTAAAATGAACTAAAGTTTTGTAGATCATGTACGGAACCTCTCAGAGTTGCGTAAAATGAACTAAGGTTTCTTACATCATCTACCAAACTTTTCATAGTTTTGTAAGATGAACTAAGGTTTCGTAGATCATGTACCGAACCCAACATAATCTTCTAAAATGAACTAAGGTTTCGTACATCATCTGCCGAACCTTTCATAGTTTCGTAAAATGAACTAAGGTTTCATACATCATTCACCAAACCTAACCTAGTCTCATAAATGATCTAAGGTTTCCTAATATCCCGACAGAACCATCGTTGACTTCGTTCATCAAAAAAATAGTTCCTCCTGTTTGATACGGAGCCACCGACAGTTTCGTTAATAATCCGAAGGTTTCGTAATTTTTGCGCGGAACTTCTCGACAGTTTCTATATGCCTATATGGTTTGGTACATTTTATACGAAACCACGGATAGTATCGTTGCGCATCCGTAGCATCTGTATTTTTGGGCAAGAACTCTTCCAATTTTCTGGCCGGCTACACGATTTAGTGCATTTCGAACAAAACGCTTCATAGGCTCCAACGTTATTTGAAGGTTTCGTACATTTCACACTAAACCACAACGGCTCCGTGAAATTTTTTCATAAATTTCCCATAAAAACACCAAAGAGTATATGGTTCTGCACCATGCCGATAATGATCTTCCTTTCTTTCAATCATGCCGAGTTCAGTATTCGCGTCAGATGGGTTTCATAAGGTCCACTATAAGGACGCTCCCACCAAAAACACTAAAAAATTCCAGCCTATCCATGCACCGAAGTCAAAACAATCTATCGTAGGGGCTAACTTACTTTAAGAGCTTTCTTTCTTTTCACGACACTTTCATTTAGGTTATCGAAGTCGAACAACCCGAATATGTGGTCAGTTTTCCCCGCCGAGTTCGCATGGGCGAGAAAATTCGTCCTTCCCAGTGCCAAAAGCTGTAGAGGTAGCTTTTTTATTTCAACTGCAGGTAAAATTCGTAAATAAGTTTGATATGTTGAAAATTAATTAATATGTTCTTTATATTATAGCTTCACTCATATTAAGATTTTAAGTAAACTTGATTCGGAAAAATAAGGGGAATTTGTTTAGCTTAATTATTGATTCCTCGAAAGATGCAATGGCGGAGTAAGTTTGATTTTATGAAATCTCATAAATTGGTTTAATTTTTGTGTTCTAAGTTGATCTGTATGTGAAATTTTAGGTAAGCTTGATCTTATGAATTTATTATATTTTTTAATATTGTTATTGTAGGTTGATGTGTGGATGCAGTTTTTAGGTAAGTTTCACCTTTTGGAACTTAGTCATTTTTTCGTTTTTTTTATTGTAGGTTTATTCAAGTGCGGAAATAAAGGGGTAAGTTGAAACTTGTGAAATCCTTGTACTTATTTTTTTCTATTTCTATGTTATAGATTGTTTCAAGTATGAAAATCATCGATGGGCTTCATTCAATCTTCGGGTGCCGACCGCTGTATGTATACCATTTCCAGTGTTTCTCAAAGTCCAAGAATGACATATATTCAAATCAATAAAAGGGAAATGAACATAGTCTATAGAGTAACCGTTTACATCGATAAAAGAAAATTTCTCTATAGATTATTTCCATTTACTTTTGATTGATTTGAATACATGTCATTCTTGGGTTTTGAGAAACACTGGAAATGGTATCCATACCGCGGTCGGCACCCGAAGATTAAATGAAATTTGGCAGATCAGACAATTAGAAGAAGGTTTGGTGCTAATCAGTTTGTACGAAACCTTTTTTGAATTGCTTTTGAAAGGTTTTGTACGAAACCATTGCCACGAAACATTTTTTTCGATTTTTTTAAAGAGGGTTTGTACGAAACCTTTTTTTTAATTGCTTTTGAAAGGTTTTGTATGAAACCATTGCTACAAAACCTTTTTTTGAATTGTTTTGAAGAGGTTTTATGCGAAACCAAAAAAGGATCTTCCCGTGTATCCGAGGGAAGATCCTTCTTAGGTTCGGTAAAAACCTTTTTTTTTAGAGTGCAGCATAACAACGGGTGAGACCATTACAAACATAATCCCTATTACACACCATAGCAACGTATGCCGCCATTAGAGACCTTACCGATGAGATTTAAAATAATGTATATATATACCTATACATACCGGGTGGTTCATAAATACAGAAACCGAAAAAAATTGAATATCTCCAGTATGGCTAGACCAAACGGGCTTATTTTTTACCAATGATAGAGGCATGTTCAAGTTTTATACCTATAAAGATATACGTAGAGTGACCTTTTGTTAAGTACATTGCTTTCTTTCCTATTTGTGAAAAGGTGAAATGTTTTTGTTGAAATCAATAATGGTATTCAACAAAGGTTCTTACCAACCTTGCCCATGTGGATTTGAAATTTGAACATTCCTCTATCCTTGGTCAAAAAATGAGCCCGTTTGCTCGAGCCATAATGGAGGCATTCAGTTTTTTTTCCGGTGTCCTTATTTATGGGACACCTGGTATATATATAACAGCTTCATTCGCCATATAATTCAATGCTTCTTATATTAAAAATGTAAAATTATAGAAAGAAGCAATGTTAAAAATGAAAAACACCAAGCGAATAGCAACAAAGAACACGAAAAAGAAGAGCATCTGTGAAGAAATTGAAAAAATTGTGATTTTATACCACCCAGGTCGAACATTCCGACCAGCGCATGTCGCAGGATTCTGTTGAAAAGATGCTAGAAAATTCACCGTATCCTGCTGGAAAACACTGGAAGTCACAGATAAAGGGTAGCAATATTTTGGCCGGGAAATTTTTGGAATTTTACCGGTGACTTCTGGTCAACTTCCTTCCGTTTCCTGCAGGAAGTTGTCAGGAAGTGACCGGAACAAATCCGAAAACTTTTCGCTGGAATACTGCTACCTTGTTCCGGCGATTTCTGTCGGTTTTCTACCAGAACCCGGTTGTAATTTTCAACCTGGGTATCTATATTGCATATTAGTTTAATGACGCTGAAGTTTATACATGAGTTCCACATGTCAGCCCCAATGGGAGTCCGTTAACGAGCTTTCTTTCAGTGTGAATATTAGAAGAGTGGGCGTAAAAGAATACAATAGAAGAAAAGATAGAAAATACTTAAAAAAGTAAGAGGTTATATATAAGGAAGATAGCTCGAGGGTAATCCCTTTATTTTTGGACAGAATATAATGTTAAATAAAATCATTTATGGGAAAAAAGAGAAAAAGCATTAAGCGAATGCATTGCTATTCAGCCAAAAGTTTTCATCAGTTCATTTCCTGACATGGGAAGATGTCATAATATTAAACGCTGAGATAAATGTCATGGAAAAGCAAGATCATTGTGGCAATGGCCTACTGAATACATTTTCTATGTGATCAATGATCAGTGAATGTTGGAGCTGTAGTGAGCGACAGTATATCAGTGATCTTCGGTGTCGCTTTAGTACCAGTGACATCACTACAATGTAACGCGTGCTTAGTGTAGCGTCTTTCAGTGACGTAAGTTATTAGTAAACCGAAACGACACATCCATAATTCTGCCAAGCAACCTTAGCTTTCGTTAAAACTGGAGTGCGTTTGGCTATGGGTAGGTGACGTGTGTATGTAGGTTTGGGCGTGGTTGGCATCGTGAGTGCTGATTTCAATTAGCTCCATTCCATACGAGCACGTACATATCCACATACAAACCAAAGGGAAACAGCGGACTTGAAGTAGAAAAGTATGGCAAAGCAGGTCAAAGTAGACTACTCGAGTTAGTTCAAAGTACCACCCAAGTAGTCCAAAGTAGGAACAGGTGACTTAAAGTAACTTCAAGTCCAAAACTTCGCTGTTTCCCCTTGACACAAACGCATGCCACAAACATTTAAAGCCATGCCTAGACTCACAGAAACAGTCATTGAAATAGCCGAAAAGAGGCTTTTTATATCACACAAATGGGCATTTCAGCCATGGAAATGGATCCTCTCTACGGCACACAATGTCGGTCTGGCTGAGGCTACAGACTGTTCCCAAAAAGACGGTCTCATAATGAACCTTTTTTTGGCATTATTTTCTGAACCTCTTTTTTGAGTTCTGAACATGTTCCTCAGAATGGGAAAAGGTTTAGTCAAGAAATCTGAACCTTATTATAGGGTGTGGATGTAGGTGTGTATTCTGATGTTCACTTTACCCGCACTCCCATCAACATCCTCGCGCCTGACCCACACCCATATCTCTTTTTATGCTCATAAGCGGGAAAACGATTTCACTCAGAAATAGTACACTTTCCATGGGTAGCACTAAAAACAAAAGTTGTGTCATAGGACATCGAGATATTTGTCATGATTTTTCTTGAGTTCGAATTGTTTACAACGAATTTTATTTGTTGAATTGAAATACAATTTAACTAATCAGAAAATAATTAAAAATTTTGAGAGTGTGGACAAGTGAAATTGAAAATATCACTGGTTGGTGCCTATTTTATATATTTACAATTACAAGGTTGATTTCGAACGCCCATTGAGAAAACAATCTTTTTGGAGCGAAATTTTTTTTGGGTCTGAAGTGGGCAAGCATAGCTACTCAAAGTCATAGATCAGGCCAAGAGGGCTGATGGAATGTTGGGGCTACGTTGGACGGATTCTGGCTATCGGGAAATGGCTCGTTTCGCGTCCTTATCAGTAAATATGACACTTACCTTTGTTAGAATTTGATGAATTTGATTTTAATTTCATATTGTCATAATCTTCTGACAGTTTATCTTCGTCGAATACTTTGAGAGATACCATATGCGTACCACTGCCATCCTGAAATGGATTGTTCAACACGTGTACAGTAGTTCCCGGAAGCAATATAACTTCTTCTTCTTGTGGATGGTATGAATATCCAATAATGCTTCTTGCATTCTTAGCGTCAATCAAGAAAAGGGTTCCTTTATCTCCAATAAAGTCGTTCATCACATCAAGGGTCATTGAACAGGAGGTCATCGTCCACCAAACACATGCTTGACCTTCCTGAAAAGTGTTCGTAATAGTACGGCCTTCACCACGCCAGACATTTCCATTGTATACGGGTAATTTCAGAAGTGCATTAGTGAAAAGCTTCAGATATGGCCACCATGGTTTTATGATCTTTACATCTTCTGTACGTAGAGCGTTATTTAGCATTTTATAGACACTTTTTTTTCCCCATTCCATCGTATAAAGAAAAACAGCCGCCGCCTCGTCATGTGTTAGATGATGTTTCGATGGAAAAACGCAATTCTTTTTAGCCACATTCATGTAATTGCCCAAGCGCGGAATATCATTCAGTATCGGATCAAGAGCGCTTTCTAATGATGACAAACGTTGGCTCATAAAGCCAATCATAATAGTAAGCTTTTCCTCTTCATGATTGTTGTCGCGATAGCGTCTCATCCTTCTAGTTTTTGTGAAACACGATCTGAAAGGAGTGTTGAAGTACTTAGGGGTTAAAATTTGCACCCCCCCTCCCGCCACAGACCGTGACAGAGAACTCTATTACCCATCGTAGACCGTGACAGAGGATCCCCATATTCATCACAGGCTGCGACAGAGGATCCCCATATTCATCACAGGCTGCGACAGAGGATCCCCATATTCATCACAGACCGTGACTGAGAACCCTGGTATCCATCACAGACCGTAACAAAGAACCCTGGTACCCACACACAAAACAATTTTCGGAGAATGATCAACCCTGAAAAAGGGTTTATAACTGCTAAATCAGTATATGAATTGGATGTACCCTCTGATAAACCCTTTTCCCGTTTATAACTGT